ATGGAGCAGATAATGGCATTCTGCAAGCCATTAACATTACGCATCTGGTGTTACTGTACGCCCACATAACTGCGTGTTGGCGCAACAGACATTTCCAGCCGGCACGTGAAGTGGTGCTCTTCCTGAAAGCGACAAAAGACCCTAATGTACCGACGTCTTATCAACCCATTTGCCTCCTGCCTGCCTTGGGTAAAATACTAGAGAGAGTCGTCTTTCAAAGACTTGAACACTGTATCCTTATTGCACCCGGCCGAATACAATAAGTGGACAAAGTGTAAGTGAAAAGCAATAAGGTTTCATCCCTGGGCAGATCAGTGGATCACGTGCTGTAACACTTACGAAAAATGACAGTAAATAACAGAAGAAATAACCAGCACAGTCTCATTATCTCTGTGGACATACAGGACGTCTTCGATTCGTTGTGGAGACCCGACGTACTCAAGAGATTGCAGGACATGGGTTGCCCTAAGATCCTATTTGACCTAATTTTTAACCTTAACAACCGACTTAATCATTCAGGTGTGCACTCACGTTCAATCAATAGAGGCTGTTCTCAAGGATCCTGTATGGGTCCTCTCTGGAATCTTGTATCCGACACAGCGCTGAATCTCTTTAACACAGATCTTCACACGGAAATACTGGCTTATGCTGATGACTTTTTGCTGGTAACCAAAGGTCACAGCCGCAACGCGTATGAGACTAGTGCCTAAAAAACAATGGACAAGATGGCCAAATGGGCCAATGACCATAAGTTAATAATTGCCAATTAAAAAAACCCAAGGTATGCTTATTTGCTAAGGTAAACGCCATCGAAGAACCATGTGCATCAATTTTTCATGGCAAAAATATTAGAATGGTTAGAAACCTGACATACCTTGTGGTTATAATTGACGACACTCTCACTTGGATGCCACATTTAAAGGAGATCAAGGGATGGCTTCACAGGATATTTCATTCCATGCTCAGAACAGCAGCACCAACATGGGAAGTTTTTTCGCAGATGCTTAAGATGTGGTACTCAATAGTTGCTGAGTGTATTGCACTGTATGGGGCCTCCATGTAAGGCATAACGGTTATTACTAAAATGGAGGATCTGCTACGCCTCAGCACAAAGACCATTCGTAAGCATTTGCCAAGGATACAAAACCTCGCCTACTAATGCACTAAGTGTCATTTCAGGACTGCCGCTTCTGTAACTCAGCCCAGCGCGAGAGTGCAATAGTGCGTATGCTCCGACTCAAAGAGACAACAAGTTTGTGGGATAAGACTTAGGTACATATACTGACTATGAGCAAAGCATTCTAGAGCCACCGTGTCACCCGGCCGAATACAGTATTTCGATTAACTGTAAGTCATTTTCGTGGTTCAAAGCTACTGCAAGCTACACCGATGGGTCCAAAGGAGAATGTGGCACCGGTAGCGGATATTGTGTTCTACATGGAAATCAGATCTTGAAGACCTGGAAAAGAAAGCTCAGGCACCATAACTCAGTTTTTCAGGCTGAACTGATTTCATTAAAAGCTGCACTTGTCTATGCATTGGAAAATAATTAGTCCAATATTTATTCAGACTCAGCCTCTAGCCTTCAGGCAATCCAAGACACTGTAAGACATATGCAGTAAAAATCCACTCGTCAGGGCCATAGAAAACTTTTAATAAATACACCAAAATACTATAGGCCCAAACTTCAGTGGGTGCCTGCCCACATCGGAATACTGCGTAATGAAACTGCAGATGCAAGACCCAAAAGAGCAGCATGTGAACCCCACGTTCGTACACTTGATGTGCCTTTTCCGGGCTCATTCTTAAAAGCCGAGATCGAGAGAGAATTATTGAAGCGTTGGCAATATCTGTGGGAGACAGAGACTACTGGCAAAAGAGTTTACAGATTTTTCCCCAAAGTCAGTCGGCTTCTAAGAAGAGGCTCGCCTCATTTTACCCAGTTTCTAACAGTGCATAGTCCCTTCATGACTTACTTTTATCGCTTCAGACAGCGTGAAAATGACCAGTGATCATGCGGGATGGCAGGAGATCCGGACCACTATGTGTTCGCTTGCAGAGAGAGTGCAAAACATCATCTTCTAGGCAGCTAGTAGCGGATCATGTCCATGCATGGGCCGAAGCTACTTCGATAAATCGCTATGCATTGAAACGTATATGCGACTGTGCTAATATTGCACGTAATATCTCAGGCAGGCTGGAATAATTTTCAGCTGCCATCCTTGTCACCAGCGCAGCCCCGTATGTTCTGTATTTGTGGTTAATTTATTTTATTTTAAGTTACTTTTTTCTGTCCTTTTTCTGTTTATACTTATTTCCTTGAATCGTCAACCTTGAATAATGCATGTTGCCTTATTTTATGTATTATTTTTACATTTTATCAGTCATTCTGTTAAGTGCTCATATTAATAATTAATGTACTATTCAGCTGACTATAACTCAGTTATACCTGTATTATAACTATTAACATCTTTCTATAACTCTGTAAATGTGAAACTGAAATTAATCTCCTCACCCACATTACACCCTTCTTCCATCACTGCACCACTGACTCGTCCAGCATTTGTTTTCATTCCCAGCACTCGTCTTGAGCACAATATGCGACAAAGTGTGTTATGTGGACCAAGTTAATTACGTCAGCGGGGCTACCTGGCGGATATGCTAACTGCCCCAATGGATCGAATTATCGTCACCACTTTTTAGTTCGGGCGCCATTTGTAGAATCATTAAGTTATTTTGAAGTAGGAGACGGGAAAAATGTGCAGCGCCCTCGCCGGGACTCTAACCCTGGACCTTTTCAATACGCGTCGAGTATGCTTCGAATTACAACACGAAAGTATGCGGAAAAGAGGAGAAAATACCTTATACAGTCAAAAGTCGCTAATCCGAACTCGTCGGGACTTCGGCGATTCCGGATTATCAATTTTTCCGCATTATAGATCATCAGTTTAAATCTGGTAAGATGGCATGCAGAAATTATAAATATAAAAATATGAAACCGTGATTTATGAAATAAAGAACAATTATGATCTAAAGGGCATCAAAATTTACAAAAAGAAAAAGCTTAATATTTATTTGTTTACTTTATTAAACATTTCTTTCAATGTAATTTGTTTAAGTTGCTTCGTTTCATGTGATAATACTTTCTCTTTAATTCTATTAAACAGCATAATTTCTTCTTTAGTTACAAAGTTCCGCTATTCAAGTCCTATAATTGCTGTGTCGAGAATACCGACTAATTTGTCGATCGAAATTTTTTCGTTTTCAATAACCCTGCGTCACTTTCTTCACTATCGGAAGCGAATTATAATGACGAGGAACTTGATTTAAATCATATCAAAGACGGAATACATCGAGATGAAATACTACATTTAGTAAGGAATTATAAGCCAAATAAAATATAAACATCTGCCCTGAAGATAAGGATAGTGCTGACAGATCAAGTTCCAACTCATTGCGCGCCGCGTCGTTTTCCTCCCCCCGCAGAGCAGCGTGAAATTGATAAACATATTTCGGAATGATTAGATAATCAAAGGATATGCCTTTATCCATTTTTTTGCAGCAATTCCACTTTCTGTTTAATGGACTTCGAAACATACTTTTGCTTTTACATATTAGTAAATATATATCGGAAATTCTATTTGACATAATCGAAAGTTCAAGTTTACTTTTATAAAATTGCTCTAACAGTCTGCAAAAAATAATAAGCCGGATCCAATTCGAAGATTAAGGAACAACGCAATCTGCAATATTAACTGAATTAGATAATTTTAGCTTAGCTTATACCGTCCGTTATACATTAAACGCGCATGCGCACACGCATATGCGCAGCCGTAAAGGTCTTCCGAGCACGCGTAAACGCCTATGCGCATGTGTCAACGCGACGCATGCGCAGAAAGTTTGTAGCTTTGAGGTCCGGATTATAGATCATTCCGTATTATGGGTGTCGGAATTAACGACTTTTGACTGTATACTTCTTGCTTGTAGACGTACGGTTTTCAATTTATGAATTGAATCAGATAAGGTAAATTTTCAGACTAAGGCAATTTCGATCACATGGCATCCTTGAGTAAAACAATACGAAATATGAAATTTAAGATGAATTCTTTACAGTAAAAATTCCAATTCAGGAAGTTGTTCATTGAAACCCACGCTTCTGCATTAATACTTTTCTGACACAATAGGTATTTAGATATTTCTTTCAGAAGGTTTAAGATGCAACTGTTTTTAGCAATATTTGTATACTGCTCCCAGAACTTTCAATGAAAGATATCTCAAGATATTTTGACTATAAGAAGATGGATAGTTTTGATTGATGTCATCCAGCAACAAGAAACAATATCTTACTGTCTTTTTTTTTTCTTTCAAGTCCACATTAAAATTTTATTAGTGTGTATTTCTTTAATTAAATGTATTACGATGTAAGATATTTGGTCTTTCTCTATTGTAACTTGTCACCAAACCTCAATAAGACTTTAAGCGAGTTATCGCTATGTATTAGAAGTACTACAGAGACTTTTCATTTTAAACTAAAATAGATACAAACAGACATCATACCTGATACATATATCAGCCAGCATTCATTGCGAGAACTCAAATGGCATTTATGGCGAGAAATTCAAATGTAAAACTATCAAATTCTGCAGTTGTAAAACAAATAACACAGACACTTAAAAAATTTTCAAAAGATATATTGACCTTGAAGAAAACTGTATGTATGTCAACAAAACTTTTTTGCTTTCTTATTTAAGTCGGAAATTTAAAATGTAGGCCTAAAATATTTACTTATTTAAGTTATATACTGTAACAGCATGGAAAAAGTTCTTGTTTGATATAAATAATGATAAAAAATTCTAATCAGTATTCATTATTAATAAGCTGTAATTAAACAACCAATAATTGAAATTTTCAGAATCTTTAGTTCTTTGATGAAAGTACTAAAAGCATTTTGCTTTGAACCATAGCAAAAATTATAAAATTTCTAATCTTCCTCATTTCAGAGGCCGTACGACGTTCATTCTTCAACGAGCATGGAAGAAATTCACGGTTTAATGCATAACACATGCTTGCACTTTCCCAAGCACGTTGACCGGAGATTTGCAAATCTTATTCAACAGGTGAGTCATTTGCGGAATAGAAAGGCTATAAAATTTATAATTTGCTTCTGGATATTAATGACTCATGAAAGCTTGTCTTGTCTATGAAGAGATTTTTTTAACGCATTGTTTGCACTTTAAAAATATTCTGTTAATTCGTCCAATTGGGGAGAATTTAGACTTAAAAAGAAAAAATACTAGTAGCATAAGTTTTTATGTATTAACTACTTCTGGACGACTGAAATATATCTCAAAACGGGAACTGCTATAGCAAGTGAAATAAAACACAAGAAATTACACATAATGCGTAACATCTTATCTATCTTTGTTTAAGTAAAGTAGAACTAATTGCTTCGAAATTATATTCCCATGCCTACCATACCTCTTTAGAGATATTTATTAATAGCCTATTTTATGCTTGTTGCAAGTTGATAATGCTTCTAAATTTAATTAGAATAAGTTTAAAAAGCATTTTAATAGCATGGCAAAATTTTTTCATTTTCTTACAAAGAGGGATTTATTTGCAGTTTTATTATGGCTTTTAAACGGTGAAAACGCAAACAATTAATTACACGTAAATACCAGTCTGAGTGGTCAACAAAAACGGGCGGAGCAGGAAAAATTATTAGAGGAGAGGCTTCATCCAGTCGTATAGGGAAGCGTTGCTTGTAGCAACTCCAGTTTCTTTTTACCTTCATGGTTAAAACCTCCGACGGCCAACTCGGTTTCCACCGCTGACGGTAAAATATCAGTTGCTGTAGTTTTGTTTGGTTTATTTGATTATGGTAAAGCACGCGAAAGCTATCTGTCTAAAGGAATGGATGCCTTTATGGAGGAATTTCTAAGTAAAACTTGCTCGTATCCATGCTAACATGCCAAAAACCCGATAACGACCATGCAGCAGCCATTTCACCTGGAATCGAATGCATGTGACGCGGCCAATGTGCAGCAATTTTTACCTTTCAGCTACTGGAGGGCCGGATTGCTGTGGCTACAAATTGCCAAATCGTATTGCCACTGAAAGGTGGACGAACGTAGAAAGTGTCATCTGGGCCGATGAATCAAGATTCAAGCTGCTGCAGTTTGGTGGCATAGTTCGTGTGTGGCGTAAACTGCACGAAGCACTTCTTACCTCGTATCAGACAGACCGGTGTCGCCGGTGAAAATGTATCGAGCATTTTTACATGGTTCTTATTGGCTCTCTTCATCACGCTGGATAGAACCTTTACGAGCTTGGGCTATTCAACCTCCTGGCTGATCATACGCTTCATACGCTTGTTGTTCCCATAACACGATGCGCTCTTTCAAACTGATAATGGGCCACCCCACATGGTCACATATTCCACAGAAGCAGTGTAGCAGTAAGGCTGAATACTGACCTGACTTCCAAAAGTCCCAGATACTCCTCTCGCGTATCTGTAAGACGAGCTGTAACAGTATCTTCTCTCTCTGGACTAACTATAATGCTCTGTGATGTATTTACAATGGAAACTGCAGGATTGCTGGCCGACAGTACTCTTTCTCGCTTTCCGCACCTCATCTAATCTTTACTAAATTGTACCGCTGTTGTTATCCTCGTAAAAGAGAGAGGGGACAGTATTTAACTGTACGAATAATGATTTGTCTTTTCAGTACAGAAAAACTGAATGAAAAGCGTACTGTTGCTATTACCCACGCAGAGAGTATGGGGGGGGTATTTAATTGTGCGTATAATAATTTGTCTTTTCAGTGCATAGAAACAATGAAACTTACATGCATTTTTCTAATTTAGAGTAAAAAACTGTGTTTCATAAATCAGTATGTGTGCAAAATAACAAATATTTTAACCCGCACAATTTTATATTTATATTTAGGCATCAAGTTACAAATTTTAGAGTTGATAGATGTTTCTGAATACAAGCATCATTAAATTAAAATTATACAAAAAATATACATAAGACAATGAATGGCTAATGTTTATGTTAAACACGAGGAACAGCACAAAAACCCAGTTCATCCATATCCTTTATTTGCTGTGAACATAATCTCGGATAAACTACTAGAGATATTTGGCTTTAGCATTCGGCATTATGGTCGGTTGGAATTTAATGATATTTCCATTGTATAAATACTTTCATAACAAAATATTTTAATAGAAATATATCATTTAGGCTTTCTCTCAATTTGAAAAGCATATATCCTCATTTAGCGACCGAATGGCTATGATAACTGAATACAGTTAATTTTAGGTAAGCTGTTATATCTAGCGGAATGAGCTGGCCGCCTAAAAATGTTTATGATTTTCCTGTGGGTTACACAGACACAGTACAAAGTGCTAACTCTTAGCTTAAAGTAATTAAAGTCAGCATTTGAGAGTTATCTACCGTTTATAGTGCGTAACGTAAATAAGAGCAAATTTCCCAACGAAAGTCTGTCACGAAGACTATTTTATTTTAGGTAGCCTTCGTTTGCTTTGGCTTTATTAATTAGCCAGTTATCTAAGTCCTCTAGTATCTGATCAAAATATTCTTAACGTTAATCCCTTATAAGATATTTCTCCCCTCTTCCTAGCGTGCCTTCCTGGTGTAGTGGTTATGCACGCTGGGCCGGTATTCCAGAGGTCCGTGGTTCGATTCCCGGCGAAGGCGATTGCTCGTTTTTCATCTTGCCTGCTCCCCAAAAAATACCTAATGTCTCTACACCCTTTTTATAGGGTTTCTTTTCTTTTGATGCAGTTTGTTATAGATATAAATTTCGTCAGTTTCATGCATTTTAATCTTTTAAATATCTTTTTAAAAACATCGAGGGATGTAGCATTCTTCTCATAGGCCTCCATAGATGACCTGCTTTATTTCCGAGAGAATTTGTTTAATAATTATTAATAATATACTAATTTCATGTCAGATTTATTCGTAGCTGATAGGCTAGCTTTTTATCCTGAAACAAACATTTCTCTCTCTCATCACTGGCAGCATTTCTCAGGGTGCATCACAGGGGTTATTGCCATATTACATAGCGAGAAGGCCGAGAAATTCATATGCGGATTCAAAACTCTTACACGAGAGTCGAACATACACTCTTCGTTTCGGGCTAGCAATTACCGTTAATTATCATACAGTCCAAGGCGACAAACGGCACACGTAACATGTAGTGAATATAAGTATAAAAATAAAGACACTCTTTGTGCTGTACAACTCGCAAAGCAGTACTTCAATTGGGCGGGAAAAAGAGTTTTTAATTCTGATCTTGCCTCCATGGTATATAAATGTGTGATCTTCAATACTCTATTAGAACATAGCTTAGGTTTTTTTTAAATTATTGCACTCTTAAATTATTAAAGCATACGTTCTTATTACACATTTATGAAGTAAAAGAGCTTTCCGGTTTGAATGTGTTATTTCTACTTTCAGTTACTAAGCTTGGATCCCAAAACCAGAATATCTTCGATCAAAGAAATAAAGAAGCATAGCTACATGGAATCTGTGGATATTTCGGCCGTGTACAACCGTCAGATAAAACCACATTTCATACCAAGTGTAAGTTCTATATACAGTTTAATTTCATAAAGTGTGGCATTAACTTAGTTTCAAAAAAAGTAAAAAGAGCTAAGTTTTCAGAAGCTGCTTTTCATTAAAACGTAAGTAGATAACAAAGTGAAAATTTGTATCATCATAATAAAGATTCCTCATAATAATGCTGTTCTATAAAAGTTAACCAAACGCATCGTGTGTCTGTGCAGCATTTAAAATATTTTGCGTTTTTGTCCTATTCTCTGATAACAGTATAAAAAACTAAAACTGTGTACTTGATTACATTTCGGGTACTGATTACCTGATTACTGTGTACTTGATTGCTGATTGATTACATTTCGGGTACAAACTGTGTAGCTGATTATATTCAATATTTATATCAATTCTGAGTGAAAAATATAAAATAAATTTCTAAAACCCGGTGTTTTTATAACGGAAAATCAGTGAATATATTGCATAAGGTTGCAGAACGTATTACCTTCACGTCCATGCGCTTGGAGAATTTTATTCAGAGAATTCTTATGTGATGAGATATAAGGCTTTGTGAAGAACCATTGAGGAATTATCTGAGGTTACTAGGAAGTACTACTTAGGCAGTAGAATCCCAATATAAACACATTCGTATCAACGTATCAGAACATGTTACCAGGTAACAACAATTTCACACTTCCTGTTGAATGAGTGAGCAGCACTACACATCGTTGATGACGTATGAGGGCAGTGTGAAAATGGCTATCATATTACAGGAATGTTCATTACAGCAGTAGTTTTCTATGATACATTTTTCATGTTGCTAGAAGATGTCCAGGATCGAGGAGTGAACGTGAGTGCTGCGTCATATTTCGATGAAATTATGTAGCTTCGGGCAACATTAAATCAAGTCGCCAGAAAGGTCCCGACCAAATAAGTCACATCGTAATGGTCCATCCCTACAATGCCATGCCTCATGTGGCCCTGTCAAACCAGGAATATCTCATGGAAATCGGGTAGCAACTTCATCATTGGCATGCGTACAGTACTAGGGCAGTCCCAAGTGGTTGATTCCAACAAAATTCATTTTGCATTAATTTAAAATTAAATTTAAAACTTTAGATTAATTTAAAACTATATCTAAACTATATAGTATGAATGCATGTAAGTAGTATAAACTCCAAATTAAACAGTTCAAAATTATAAGACTTTTAATTGTTTCAAAAAATTAGTGTCTGTGCAAAAAATGTCCAGGAAAGCTGAAAGGAGCTGTAAATTGTTTTACGATAATTAATTTCTACTTTTAATTATATTCTCGACTTCTTAAATAATGAAAAAGCAACATTTCACATAATTCTTGAAATAGTTAATTCATTGTTATCCAGAATTTAATTTATTAAATCATATAGTGAAACCACAATCTATAGTTTTTCGGAAGCGAGGCCGAAAGGAAAAACGACGTGGGCGGGTAAATGATTAATCCAAGGAACTGTTTACACATTATACATATTATGGAAAAATAACATTTATTTCTTTTCACTTGAGAACACCACTTAAAAATAATATTTTTAACGAAAAGGGGTATGTTTCCTTGGCATCTTAGCTGAATTTTGCCTCAACTGAAACTATATTCCCAGACTTAAGTCTATGTATCTTCCACTTAGGGCACAGAAAAACATTTTAAATTCTGAGCTTTGTAAGTCAGGCTTAAACATCTATTGTTCTTTTTTATCTTCTTTTCCTTTTTTCTTCCATATTTCTTGTATTAGATCCAAAGGGAAAACTAACCATGAAACCATTGAAAATTAATAGCAATAAACTAAAGAAAATAATGTGAACAAATGTATTATAACTTTTGATGATTTGGCATTTGTAAATGACACTAATAACGTGGGCTCCAAGCTGAAGGCCACGTACCAAGCGTTACTATAATACTGTGTTGCTAGATTTACAGTTCACAGAAAAGTTATGCAAATAATTAATCCATACTTTGTAGAGTCATTGGAAAATTTTGGAGCAGGAAGGATGAAAAATGAACAGTGCCCTCTCCGGGATTTGAGCTCCGAACCGTCGGAGTGCCAGTCAGCCGTGCTTCCATTTACACCACTAAGGCACGTATGATGAACGATACATGAGGGAAAATATTGTTGTGGAAACGATAGATCAAGCTTCTCTTGTAACAATTTTTTGACCTTGTTCTTCTCTTCTCTCAGCAGATGGCGTTATGAATCACTTTCCCCATTTTCACATTTTGTTTTTGTGTATGTCTTATAGCAAGTGATGACGAAAGACCAGGTTTCTCTCGAAACGAATCTAATGCTTTTAGTTTGAAATTTGAGTTAATTATATAATAGTGGCCAAAAAATAATCCTTAAAGCTCTGCAAAAATTCAGAAACATGTAAACTATATATCATTAATTCCAAGTGCCGTCAGCAGTGAGTTTAAATTTTGAAAACAGTAATAATGAACTATTTTATATATCTAAGGACAAATGATGATACGAATAACTTCTCTGCTGCCTTTTAATAATCACTTATTATGTATCTAATTGACATACCTTTTCTCTTTGCCACTGAAAGAAAAAGGAAAAATTGTCAAAATAATGAATCCGGTAATCTTATAGAACCCAACGAATATTAGACATGTCCTTTCATTTAACAAAGCTTTCATTTGTCAAGCAATTTTTATATTTCATTATTCGATTTGTGAACAAATCTTCTGATATTTTGTTTGTTCAGAAAATATTTATTTTATATATAATATATGTTTTTATAATAATAATAATAACGCGATTTTAATAAACTAATTAATTTAGAAATAAAACTATTTTTTCTTATCTATTTTCAGCTAAGGAATTTATTTCTTGACATCAGACAGTCTGAAGAATTCTTAAGATTTATCATAGTCAAATCAAAAGTTGCTTTGCGTGTGACCAATCGAAGGTCGGCAATAATTTCATACAGTTGAGTAGCTTTCATTACCAAGGGCATTTGGCTCGTAATTCAAGATTTTTCTTAACGCTTGATAAGAGTAGACCGAATAATGATGATTCTAGATCTTCTAAATCAGTATTTCCCCGCCATTCATAACATGTATACTATCTTGAAATCATTTCCCCCCCCCCCTTTTTTTTTTTTTTTTTTGGTGTTGGTTAAATGGGATAATATAAGTTGTAAGAAAGGAAATCGATAATAAAATCAACAAATATCATTTGCTTATATATAATGATGTTTTCTGATAAAAAATAACTCCGCATTTGTATTAAGTTTAGAAATTTCACTTGAAATACTGAAGTGTTTGGATATGTCTGAGGAGTAATAATAAAAGTAAAATTATATAGAAGAAGAACTACTCTGTTAAATGTGACTGGAAAGTTTCGTTTAATAAGATAAATGATGAGTTTTATTTTAATTTCATCCGAATACAAACAATACATGAGATTTCTGATTCTCTGATTGTATCATCTTAAAGACGAAAGTTAAGAATCAGTGCTTTAATTTCATTTACTGTAAATGTTATATTTAATGGGATACAGAAAATAACATTTAAAACGAACTGATGAAACAGATTTGGGTGTAAAATTTGCAGAATGTGTTTTCATCGGCGGCTTTACTGGATCGTTAGTATTTACTTGTACATCACATGTGACTGATATTGCAAAAGTATGCCTTCTTCACAATGGAACTTTCAAAGCTAAATCATAACTTCATAATTTTCCTCTACCGGTGCTCCAAACAATTAAAATTTTAAACTCGTTTGACCCAATTCCCCTAAAACATAGAAAACACGCTTAGCATATTTTATAACCTTTGATTAGCTAAAAAGAAAGCTTCTCATAAATAAATGGTATAACTGCATTTTTCATGGCTGTCATAACGTCTTTTAACGTTTGCAGCTTTTTTTCTCTTCAATATCAGGCATTTATATAGATTTTAATAGCAATCATTTAACGTAAAAGAATTACTTCAGATTAAAACTTTTTACATTGGCTGGCATTTACGATGACAGAAGAGTAAAGTGAAAATACTCGGATTGATTGTTTTAGGTCACCTGCTTATTTATACTTATTTTATATGGCACTGAGTGCCGTACCGTCGGGCCGGAACTCAGTCGGGAGAAGGTATGGATGTTTGTAAACATATAGTGTCTGTGCAGAATAGGAGACACTTAAATAGACGACCAGCCTGTTAGTTTATAGTGGGTTGATGATAGTTTGGAAGAGAGGTGAAAGAATTGGACCCGTTTCCAGGGCTGCTGTTCTTCAAAATTGCACTGAGCTACGCAAAGTCATATTGTCACCTATATGGTGCTCAAGGTTCATAATAATGACAAACGCACTCTTGCGCTCGTTAGATCGATAAAATGTGTGAACATATATAAGATTTTTCTCTCGCCTTCGTTGTGTAGTGGTCAGCACGCTCGACGCGTATTCGAGAGGTCCATGGTTCGAATCCCGGAGAGGGCATTGCTCATTTTTCATCTTTCCTGCTGCAAAATAACCTAATGTCTTTACATTGGCGCCCGAACTAAAAGGGTGGTGGATGATGATTCTCCACCACCAGGATTTGGCGATTGGGTCCCCTAATCCCCAGTCGCCTTTTAAAAGGGGGAGTATATAAGGAATTTCTCCCGCCTCCTTAGCATGACTTCGTAACGTAGTGGTCAGCACGATCGACGCGTATTCGAGAGGTCCGTGGTTCGATCCCGGCATGGGCATTGCTCATTTTTCATCTCTTTTGCTCCCAAAACAACCTAATGTCTCTACACATGTTCTGATTAGGTCAGAAAAGTGAGATTAGTCACAACAACATTTACACAACAATACTGATTTTATAGACTTTCAGTTCTGTTCAGAATAAAGAATCACTCACGTGTCTTCGTTCAATTTTTATTTATCACTCCATTACATGTCCCCACTGGTCCACGTGTTAATTCGCAATCTACTAAATCATCAGTGCCACTCCAAAATATCAGCCCAAATTGCTCAATCAGATGTTTCTCATGCATATTTCAGAAATCATTCCGTACACTAACTTGCAAATAAATTTGAAGGATTCTACAATGAAATGAAATTCTCTAAATGACTAAAAAATTATGAACTGAATGAAATGCTCTAAAATGATATGAATGAAATGATCTAAAAACTGTGACTTTGCAAGTTAGCTAACATATTTAAATTACTTACCTTTCTAAATTTTGGTTCGAGTTATGCACAGTTATATTAGATGGAAACCATTTTACACTGGCACGCTTCTCTTTCAGTCACAAATTGAAAATAATTTGATATAATAATAATCAAAATATTTGATGTGGGCACCTCATGACTTCCTTGTACGGGCTATTGAACTATACACACGTTTTTGCAGCTCTTCATTTAAACTGATTTCCTTGAATTTCATTTGAGAGACATTTTGATTAATTCAGTTCATTTCTCACTTCGCTACAAGGCAAAAATACATAGACACTCAAAACATCTTTAGTAAAACCTGTAATATACAGAAAAACCTAAAACATTAATACAGTTAAAAAAAAATTACAATTAAAATTAGAGGTTTCTGCGCAAAAGCAAGCGATTCGGCTAGGGGGGTAGGAAAACAGAAGTTGCAGCTCAAAACTGAAAGTTAACGTTTGATCTCACTGGGCAAAACAACACTGAAGTTGGTGCAACAACTGACTTAATTCACTTCTGTACTAATAGTTTCAAATGTAAGCAATTGGAGTGTCTTTAGTTCTACTGCCACCTAAACTTTTAAATTATTAATAATTCTACAACTACTGCATGCAGATTAACTAAAGGTATGAAACGCTTAATCAGAAAATAAGAACAGCATAATTCAATCACTTTTAAAGGGAAAAAATGTACAATTTCCTAAGCTATAAGTATAAAAAACCGAACTCATTCAGCCGGATACGTTTGGTTCGGCCAATTGCAACGAAAACAGGAGGTGTACAGCTAGATATTATAGCAGTCCCATACGCAAAATTCCAGCATTCTACGACTGCTAGTTTTTGAGTTATGAGAGATGAATACAGAAGTAGGTACAGACGTCACCGAAGAAATCTGAATTCATTTTACAGTCCGTATTGGAAACAATAGTGTTTTATTCTGTCCGTACGTACAGATGTTACTCAAAAACATCGTTTAAGTGTATTCGAGAGTGGTCAAAATAAATATTTTCGTTTAAATATGATGCGCGAAAGTTTTCGCGATTACAGTACTTCCTTTGCTTCACATAAGGAAGTAAAACGAAAACATTTCTTAATTAATAATTTAATTAACTTCTTAAATTGCATTCTTAATTTTAATTATCGGTACTTGCTATTGTCTACTGAAAGTATTTTATATTTAAAAATTTAATCATGTACTATTCAACAACGCTTAAACTATAAATCCGTAATGCTGTTTAATCATGAATAAACAATGAGACAGGAATTATGTGTATTTATGTGCATTTGTATATATATAAGTAGCTATGTAGAACGAAACCTTCTAAAGCAAACTCAGAAGTTTGAAAGTAAAATCTGAAGGAAGATACACATTTTTTATTTCGAAATTATATATATATATATATATTTGCGTATGTGTATATGTGTATAATATTAAATATTCTTCCTTAGAAAGATCAACTTAACTGCGATCCAACCTTTGAACTCGAAGAAATGATTATTGAATCCAAACCTCTTCATAAAAAGAAAAAGAGACTATCGAAACGAAACAAGACTAAAAGTATCCTAACAAGCCAGATAAGCAAAGTGAGTACTGTTTGGTCAATATTCGCTGTTTCTATTATTATATTTTAATGAAGAAGTAGGAGCAATAAATGTGTCGCAGGTTTATTGTTTCTAGTTAAAAGACGTTGATTTCCTATCTGGATTTTCAAAGAGGCTAGGCAGGAATTTGAAACTCTGAAGCTAACTCAGTATCAGAGCAATGAGTAATAGAAGTACTTTTGCAAAACTAAGCCAGTCTGAGAGCAATACTGAGTATATTGCCTTCTAGCAATAATGGGCATAGAAAGGCAACTATTATGAGCTCTCGTGATTTATTGGTATTATTCATATCCTCTTCAGCTCGTTCTTAGAGCTACTTGTGGGATTTCTTTGTTTTGGTCAACAAAAATAAGTAATCAAATACGTTATTTAAAAGTATTATTAGACAATTAATTACAAAATACATTTTCATAATACGTGCAAAATCATAAAACCACTGAATAATATTAAACTATTATGAAATTAATTTTAAGCTCTTCGTCTAACGAATAACATACATTTAAATGTTAAATAGTAACTAATACTACTGGACGAGATAGCTGTTTCAAAATTTAGCTGTTTTTAAATTTCTGTCAGATTCAGTTAAAAAATCAGAACAATATGATTACCTACAATGTTCTTTCCCATTAAGATTTATTCTTTGAAATTCCCATTCAGCTATGTGTGTATATATATATATATATATATATATATATATATTATATATATATATATATATATATATATATATATATATTATTTTTTTTAGGATGAAGAAGCAATGCAGATATGCCTCGGCTCAATACAGAATGAATTCATAGTTTATAACCGCGAAAGGTATTTAAAATTTGCTTTGATTTATTTTAGATTATTTCAATTGCGATTCAACTGCTATCAAATATATATTATTTGTACTGTAGAGCCATTAGTTTATTTTGAAGCAGGAGGTGGGAAAAATGTGTAGTGCCCTTGCCGGGACCTCTCGAATACGTGCCGAGTTTGCTACAGTTACATTACGAAGCGTGCTAGAAAGAGAGAGAAAATACCTCACATTCTCCCCCTTTTTATTATAACTTTTTAAACGACGACTGGGGATTAGAGGATCTAATCGCCAAATCCTGCCGGTGACGAATTATTGTGCATCACCTTTTAGTTCGGGCACCCACTTACATAGTCATTCAGGAATTTTCGATGTCAGGAAATGTGAAAAATCTGCAATGCTTTCGCCGGGACTCGAACCCTGAACCTCTCGAATACGCGCCGAATGTGCTACAGTTACACCGTAAAGGCATGCTGGAAGAAGATACCTTATAATATAATAACTACAACCTCTGCATTTTAAATTTTGCTTGTTGCTTCTGCAATACACATCGTGTGGTGGTTTTAACATTCAGAATTCTTTATTTGAAGGCATCCACTTTTGAACGGAAGTGTATGTTAGTAAGCTACATGCATTCTATTCAGTTCTAGCTAAGATTAAAATTTTGAAAGTTTTCGTCGCGAGTTTTAAGCTGGTTTCGTGCCAAAAGCTTGAAATTACTGAGGACGGTAGTATTTAAATAAAAGCAGGTTATTTAAATAAAAGAAATTCACAAATTAAACAAAGAAGAAAATAATATAAAAAATTTAAAAACCTCACGAAATATTGAACTGAATAAATTTGGTCAATTAACATGTTCTGAAGTTAATTTATTCAACAATTTATACAATGCCATAGCGTTAACAGTTGAATGGTGCTTTTAGTCTGAATACTCTATGTCATATCGAATACTGGACAAGAATATTACATAATATATATATATATATATTTCATTTTTTGCACTATTTCAATATTTCTTTTAGATATTGTTATACAGTCTTTTTTCAAACACCAATGCATAATAAATTTTCATTTTTGTATAGTGAATTGGAGCATCAAGTAATGGAAGAAAAAAGAAAATTATGGGAAGAAGAACTAGCTAAAGTCGTCAGCTGACTTATTTCCAGCAGGCCAGCTGTTACTGATGTGGAATAATAATGAGAAAAGCAACTGAAAAATGAACACGCAGTTGATCGCGATTTAACAACGATCTCTAATGAAAGCTATAAAAGACACTTTTTGGAGGATACAATTTCTAATTAAAATAAAATTTATAAATTTTAATGGAAAGAGAAAATAAAGAATTTTCTTCAAAAGTATGGACAATTTCTTACAATTTTCAGAGGAAGCTTATTCTCCTGCACTTTATTAGTTTACAGTTTTTCAGACATAAGTAAGCTAATTCCACAGTTGGAAAGAAAAAATATATTATGATTAGCAAATAATGCTTGTATAACCTTATTTTAATTTTAAATAACCAGTTATAATTAATTAAAATCTGCTTTGGCTTCTGTGAGTCCTGCCTGTATAAAAGACGAAGAAGAAGAGCTCTAAATGCAACATTCGATTTCTGATTACTTTCTCTTTTATACTGCTGTCTATTACGATTTTATGGTGCCTTACAGTTACCGCTTTGAGGATAAAAATTTAGTGAGCGAGTTGATTGAACTAAAGCTTGCTAATTTAGCGTAAATGAAAACGGTTTAATTTGTTCTGAAATTCGAAAAATGTGAGCATTATAGATTAGTTAGAACTCCATCGAAGTTTAGGCGCTGCTTATTGCAGCTTGGCATAGAGTTCTGGTTAACTGTTTTTGGACTTAGCAGTATTTATCCATAGACGAACATGATAAAAAAACTCGGAATGATTGAAGGTTATAAACATTATTATTATTATTATTTGAAAGGAATTGTAGTGAGTTAAGTACTTATAAGACCTAAATAATTGTGATTCAAGAACTGCATAATTTTGGATTCTCTATCATGAGTTCAAAGAAAGAATATTAAAATTCAAGATTACCGTGATGTAACCCCTCACCCCATTTAGATATGAATGCTTGCTTATGAAAGAAAACACAAGCCTGAATAAAAGTGACTTAAAAGATTAATGCCTGGCAACAAAAGATATCAAATGCTTGAAGAAGGACAGCACGTTCTTCCGATGAATTCCAAGCTTACAGGGTAAGATGCTTTTTATGTAATGTGCTGGTGGACGTCAATTATTTCTTAGACCTCATCAGAAGATCATAATGATATTAACCCAATAAAGAGGATCCGTGCAACAGAAATAGCTCGATGACCTTTGTCGGCTCGATTTACTACTATAAAGTTCGGAATTCTAGTTTGGAGTTTAAATACCAGCCGACGTTTTAATTCCAGTTTTTGATTCCAGTATCGCCAAGACAACTATTTCAACCAACTGAAAAATAAACTCCTGAAAGAAATCCAAAGGAATTAAAATCTCCAAAAATATTAAACCACAGTAGTGCCTACAAGAAACGATACAAACTACAATGTTGCTAACCTGTAGCCTTTTCGAATGGGGATCTAAATGTCGTGTTTGATAGTGCAACATCCACGGGAATAATGCTAACTTTGACTGTTGAAGTAAGAACCAATTTAAAAGCCATGATCGAGCCGTGCAACTAATTAGGTATATTCATGTCATTTAGAAAATATATGTGAGAGAAACGTGTTGTGCACATATTAACAGCATCATAGCTACCCAAATGCATCTAAATTTGCCAAAGAAATTTTACCATTTTTTATTTGGCTGTGCAAGGAGGAAAAACTGCGTTTCTGTGCATCATATAACGGTAACGCGATGTACTTGGGGCGATTACGATAAGTAAGACTCAACGTCCCTTTTTAAAGCTGTCATCTTACCCCGTGTCAGTCCTCATTCTGATGTTGCCAGTGCAATGAAACAGAACTGGACGTCTCTGAATGGGAAATCTTTTACTTAAAATCCAGATTTCTGGTTGTGCGGTATTTTTCACCCTCATTTTTCCGTTCCTGCAAAGGCAATATTTCCAGTGAACGAAGTCATAAAACAGACACTTTTTGCATCACGTGATATGCGTGCACCAGTTTAACATCTTCAAACTGACTGATCAGTGGCATAATTGCCTAAAAGTTTAGTGGCAGTTACTTAAAAATAGTGTAAACCTGACAAGCTCCTATAAAGTAATATTTTGCGTCAACTACAAAGAAATGTTTTGATCACCTCTTACATACAAGGTAACTATGCACCTCTTGCATACAAGGTAACTATGCACAGCAAATAATACTTAAATTCAGATTCTGGAAGGAAACCAATTTTTAATAAACGTTCTCGCCTATAACTTTTTTTAACTAAAATAAATCTATCTTAAAATTCACTTACCAAAAGAGTAATCGCTGAAAATGAAATCGGCCACCACAAGTTTCCATGTAAATGCGTATCGACTACCAATCGATAAGAAATAATCACTGCATTTTTGTAGCAGTAGCGTAGCTTCATATTCTTTTTTCTTTTTTTTTCCCCTAAGATTTGCTTATTTCTAGAAAAGGCGATAAAAATGAAGAGGAAAAACCGATAAAAAAAAGAACGACTAAGGATTATAATTGCTTAGAGGAACTACAAAAGCTTTACATTGCAACATTAGAATTCCAAAAATCCACGCGAACTTGATCTGCCTGGATATCCCGTTAATTCGGTTAATTGAGTTCGAAAAAAACGGTTAATTGAGTTGACTTTTCATAGACTAAGCACTTATTTACTTACGTGAGAGAACTTTTATTCTTTTATCGTGTTTTATTGCAATCGAGATTACTTACTCAGTTAGAAAAATTTAATATATCTATTTTAGTAAAATAAATCATAAGAGAATTTTTTTTTTTTTTTGTTTATCCAGTTTTATTGCAAAAAAATATTACATAGTTAAATATATTTATTTTCGTAAAACAAATTACGAAACACATTCACAAACGTTTTCTTGCAAAGTATGAAATTGCATTTATTTGCTTAAACTGAAAATTTTCTATTTCAAATAATTGAAAACGGTGAAATCAACTTTAATTAAACATAATTTTGAATTTGTGTACTGTGTTAAAATTAAGCAAAGAAATTTTTTTTAGTAAAATAAAATACATATCTCAAGTAGTAAGAAGAAGCTCTGCATTTAGTACTTTAGTATTTAGTAGTAGAAGCTCTGCATTTAGTACATAATTGCTTTTACCCTAACGAGAGGTAGGGGTTATCGACGTATTATTTTCTTATTTCTTAACGGTGTCAGCCAGCCTATCACAAATGCCATACACATTCATCAGTATAAATTAAATAACTTCTTTGTTGCGAAAACGTACTTTACTTTACCCCTCTTTCTTACGATTTGTTTGAAAATATAATATTTTTGGAACTGGCAGCAAGAGGAAAGCAGGATTCTGACTGTTAGAAGACGAACCAAAAATAAGCGTCAGTTTGAATTTTGTAAATCAAATTGTACATCATCGGCTTCCAGTGTAAATAAATAAACTGTGCTTATAGTATAAGACTTGTAGCTTTATTTATTTTAGAATATTTCGATATCTTGCTCTTTTAATTGTCGATTCATTATTTTGAATTGAGAAATATTAGATACCCTTTGACATGCTTAAAATTATGTACTCTGTTAAATCATCATTTTGCAATATTTAAAACAATGAAAAAGTTATAAACTTTTAAATGATATAACAACTAGCTGAATTTTACAGACCATAGAAATGAGAAAGAAAAGATCCGTTTTATCCAGGGTCGCAGATAATTGGAATTCGTATGTCTGAAATTCCATCGCTTTAGATATCGGTTGGGTTCCTCATTATATTAAGTCATTTATACTTCGCCAAAAATGAATAAAATTGCAAGGACTGGGATTGATTAATAAACTCGAAGAAGCTGTGTTCTTTATTTTGACTTCAGCTGTGTTTTATTTAAATAATAACATATTTTACTTGTATTTCCTATACTGTATCTGAGTGTGATCGTTTACATACGTAGAAATGTTTTGTGCAATTTAAACACATAATAAGGCCTATCTTAATTTCTGAGTTTTAGAGTATTGTACAAACTTTTGCTGATTTTATTCTTGAAGGAATTATGAAGTTTTCATTTCGATTTTCTGCAGTTTAGGTAGAACCCTACAGAAGTATCTGAGGTCCTAAGCAAAGTATTCTTTACATCCCTTCCATGCCTATTTTCTTGGTTTGTGTGGTAAAAACAGGAATGTAAGTAATTACAGGATAGAATTGGGTCCTTCCTAGTCGTATGTAGTAATCAGGGCCTACATTCTATTATTATGAAAGATTAAAAAAACTCATAATTTAATCTTCCTTAAAAAGATAGATCCTTAAGCACATAAGAATGGGTTACATTAGTATTACTCGTTACTCTTATCATTGTGAGCGCTGGAAATGAAGTTTCATTTCTTGTTATTATTTTTATAATATTTTAATAAATAAGAAAAATCTAATTAAAATCTGAAACTGGCACAAAAATGGACAAACCTTTATGATTATTCTATTGATCGAATTAGAGTGAAACATACATTTTGTGCCAAAATAATCTTAATTGGTATAACTGATACTTTGTTTTAGTTGCCTTTACGAATGTTTCGCTTTTCTGCTTATTGTAATTAGGTATTTATCTTTTTATCTTTTTTAGATTTCTGGCGTACTAGGGCGTATATGTGCATTGTGCAAAAGATTTTGATATTTTTTAATTACCTAGAGAGCCTCTACTCCTGTAAGGAGCTCAGGAAACCTTTTTTGGAATTGCCTTCGCTGTTTTAGTGGGATGCATTTGAACCACCTGAAAGTTCAGATGATGTTAACTCCTCTATATCTATACTGATAAATATCTTCGAATCATATATTTTGTCAATCAAATTGACCTTATTGTTTAAAAACCCCTTCCTGATACTTCGATTTCATTTCAGAATTCTCTTGATCATAAAGTCCAGCTTTCTAAAAATACCTTTTAATTACAATAGACTCCACCGATTTATAAAGAGCATGGATAAAGTTAGCAAAACATTTTCAAGTTAACTTTTGTTTTTTTGATTGAATTTAAGTTAAAAAGTTTCATTCTTATGAGCCTAGGCTTTACACTATTAAATGATGATTCGGTCTAACGTCTTCAATTGGAAAATTGCAATTAATGGTAAATAGTTGTGGTGATGTATTTAATTATAGCAAAGCACACTAGGGCTATCTGCCTAAGGGGAGGGATGCCTTCGGGGAGGACTTTCTAAGGGAAACTGGCTCTTATACACGTTACACATGGGGAAAACCACGAAACCACCCATGCAGCCAGCCCGTTCGCGGGATTCGAACCTCGGACCGAACTACCAGTGTTCAGCGACTTTACCGCTCGGCCGCTGCTGGGCTTTAATGGTAAATAGAGATGGCTCAATTAAATGTAATTTTACATAAATTTTATAGTTGAAAAGTTGTTCATAAAAAATATAAATTTTCCGTTTCTTTCTTCCTTTTTTCTCTACTTTTTCGTCCAAACTCTAAATGCAGAAGAAGGTAAACAAAATTTTTATTATGCAAATGATCTACTGGTTTATAAAAAATCTGTTTAAAGTTCTGAGGTTTCTTAGATTTACTAATCAAAACAATTTTTCTTTTATTTGTATCATCTTTCTTACAGGTAAGTTTGATTCGCCTTTTTTTTAACTGATTAAGCAAAACACTCAAGCGCTATTACCCTAAGAAGAAGGATGCCTGCGTAAAGATTAAAGTAAACAGGTTCGTATTCAGTATACACATGAGGCAAGCCAGGCGTATGCCCGAATTACTGGTAAGAAGAAATGTTCGGTGATCTTCACTATTTTTCTGCTTATGAACTCAAGTTATGTTGCATTTTCAAGAAAATAAGCCATTCTGATCAAGTCTGTGAGTATCTCGTGCATCACATTTTACGGACTGGCAAATTTATAGCATATTTTATCTACCACTTTGTAAAAGTTATAACATGATTATATCTTCATTGCATCAAGAGTCGCCTCGAAAATACAAGCAGATTCCTCATTGATGCAAAACGGGCCCACCAGCGGCCGAGCGGTAAAGTCGCTGAACACTGGTAGTTCGGTCCGAGGTTCGAATCCCGCGAACGGGCTGGCTGCATGGGCGTTTTCGTGGTTTTCCCCATGTGTAACGTGTATACGAGCCAGTTTCCCTTAGAAAGTCCTCCACGAAGGCATCCCTCCCCTTAGGCAGATAGCCCACGAGGCTTTGCCATGATCACACACACACACACACACATTGATGCAAAACAATAAAAGAACACCCTTTGATGGCCATATTTCGAAGTCTGGCGGCTTTAAAGATAATGCATTTTCAATGTTAGCATGTCTAAATTTACGAAATATTTCTTGATCCTGATCCTTTCATGGCACGAAAACATTCGAAAATAGTGACTTCTGTAGTAATATCCATCTTATTGCAGCGATTATCAGCAGCTTCAATAAACCTTATTATTTTGCTCCCTTGACATGTTTTGCTGCCATGTTTTATGCACACATGAAATTTTGTTACAAATTTTCTATGTCCAATGGCAAATGATACATAACAAGATAGCCATCAGATAAAGAAATTAACTGAAATTAATTTCTTGTTAAAAAAATTATAACATGTATACGCGAGGCTTTTGCAATAGACTTTTAAGCATTTTAGTACTATTGCGTGCACTTCTGCACTTGCTTGTCATTTTGCTTGCTGCATACTAGTTTTCTTGCACTACTTGCTTGCTGCATACTAGTTTTCTTGCACTATTACTTTCTGAGTAGCTAGACGTAACGTCAAGTTCCGGAAATTCCTTATTTGTTGTAGGAAAATGGAAAAAAGTAATACTTCTTTTCTAAATTCTCGAATGTAGGAAACAGAGAGAAAAATAAATTCATAGTTTTGATATGCATCTTGAAATTTTTCAGAAAATAAAAGATAAGGAATAGGTACAGATACAGTATGATTAGGTTACTTTGAAGCAGGAGACATGAAAACATTGCCCTCACCGAAACTCGAACCTGAACCTCTCGATTTCGTGCCGACTGTGCTACCGTTACACCACGAAAGCATGCTGGAAGGGAGCAAATACCTTACAGACTCCAACTTTAAAAGGGCGACTGGGGATTAAGGGATTCAATCGCAAAATCGTGCTGGTGACGAATTATTGTTCACCACCTTTTACTTTGGGCGCCACTGTAGAGTCAATAGTTTTTTTTGAAGCAGGAGTCTTGAAAAATATGCAATGCCTTAGCTGGGACTCGAACCTGGATCTCTCGAATACGCACCGTGTGTGCTGCCGTTACAACACGAAGGCTTGCTGGGAGGATGGGAGAAAATACCTTATAAATTTATGTCCAAGCTTCTTAAACAAAATTCGATTATAGATGGTTTAGTATTGGCAGATGAATAGTCTTCTGTTATAAAGCTTTAAAAAAAAGTTTTTAATACAGTCATTATTACTGCTAATCCATGAAGAACGATTGATTGTTTTGTAAAATATAGTAAAAGTTTTTTAGTTAACTTTTCTAATGTTACTAGTTCATGGGTTACATGCACTCCTATTAAAAAACATCTGTCATTTATTTCTTTGTCAAAATAAGCGCATTCAATTAAGCATCTTACCTATATTTCAGAGCAAAAAAGATTCTTACAATTAAATACCTAATAACAACAAATCTTAATATCAATTTGAATAATTATCGAGATCAAATGTTTTAATATTCGAGCTTTCTATGTGCGTTTATATGCATTTGTCTTAGCGACTTGTTTGATTCGCTTATAAAAGCCTCAGTCTGATGAGATTTAAAATTATTTTGATTAATAATTCAATGTATTCATTCGTCTTAGCTTAGTCAGCGTAATCATAATGCTTTTTTCGATAAGATTTATTTTCGAGGCTTTTTTTTCCTTCTAAATTATTGGCCTATTGAATGTACGTTGTTTAATATTCTTAACTCTGAAATCATTAATCAATTGAGTGTTTATATGGTCAGTGTTTCTCAAAGCATGGTCATGCCCTTTTGGTGGGTCGCAAAAAGTTTTGAAGGTTTGGTTTTATTTTCTTTTAGCGTCCAAACCTTTTGCAAATATTGTGTACAGTTATTTATAATTATTAATTAATTTATAGCTACTAATTAATTGTTAACAATAATTATAATCACATATATATATTATTACATAACAATGTTAAAAAAATTTCTCTTTCTTTTTCCCTTCAGAACAGCTCAGCATATGTGGAATAAATTGCATCTAAGTGTTGGTGGTTCGTGTTGCTAGAAAATTTGGGAAATACTCTATATAGGAAGCCAAGCAAATAGCTGTCTCATGAACCAACCATTCTAAAAACGGGTTGAACGTGTACGATATTTGAGCAAACAGAAGGATTAAATCGAACAAAAATTTATTTCTAAAGTCTAATAATACATTGTTTATATCTTAACTATACCCATACTTAAAAATTCGGAATTTTTATGCAGTTTTTTTTTTAAGAATGCCTAATACGT